TTCAGTTACTCTGTTTTGCTTACTCTGTTTCCTTTATCACGTATCCACCATGGATACCTTATCTGCCGCAAAACGTATCTGAGGATCATCTAACCATTACCTTACGCAACACGCAACCAAAGAGCTCAGAGAATGAAAGAGAAAACTCATTGCCGATTCCAATTGATCTCATTATCGAGATATTCTCGAGGTTGCCATTTAAGTCTATAGCGATATGTCGATGTGTATCGAAGCATTGGGGTTCCTGTTGGGTTAAGCTTGGAAAAGAAGTAACTTGTGCGATAAGTTATTGGTTTAAAATAAGAGATATTATCAAATCTTTGGGAGTTATCCATTGATATATGTTTTAGGAGTTATCTAAAACAAGATATAGTTTGTTTGAGATTAGATCTTTTGTATCTCTATATAAGAGTTGCCAAAGCTTGTGGTAAACCTTAAGAGAATTGAGAGTTAGATTGAGAGAAGCTTTAGTTTGAGTTATTTCTAAAGTTAATAAAGAGTTATTTTCTTATCTTTTGATCTAAGTATTCGATTCTAGATTTGGTATCAGAGCCTTAAGGGTTTTTGATATTCGATCATGAGTGAAATCGTTGTAGCAAACAAACCTAAAGAGGTAGGGATGTCGGTCATTCAATGTCCGATGTTAACTTCCTCAAACTACACTGTGTGGGCTATGAGGATGAAGGTGGCGTTGCGTGTACACAAAGTTTGGGACACAATAGATCCTGGATCTGGTGATGTTGAGAAGAACGACATAGCCCGAGCTCTTTTGTTCCAGTCCATACCCGAAGTGTTGATCTTGCAAGTAGGAGAGCATGAGACCTCAAAAGCTATTTGGGAAGCCATCAAATCTCGAAACCTTGGTGCTGAACGGGTCAAAGAAGCAAGACTACAGACTCTTATGGCTGAATTTGATAGGTTAAAGATGAAGGAGAATGACACGATTGATGACTTTGTTGGCAAACTGTCAGAAATAGCAACAAAATCGGCTTCACTGGGAGAAAACATTGAAGAAACTAAGATCGTAAAGAAATTTCTTAAAAGCTTGCCACGAAAGAAATACATACACATCATTGCTGCTCTTGAACAAGTTCTGGATCTTAAGAAAACTACCTTTGAAGACATCGTGGGAAGACTTAAAACCTATGAAGAACGGATTGATGCTGAAGAGGACTCGCAGGAGAATCAAGGCAAGCTAATGTATGCTAACATGGACTCACAGCCTCATTTTGGATCGCAAGAAGGAAGTAGAGGAAGAGGTCGTGGTCGTTTTGGAAGGGGACGAGGACGCTTTGGCTACCAACAGAGAGAGGGTTACCAACAGAGAGACAAAGCAAAAGTAACTTGTTATCGCTGTGATAAAGTTGGGCACTATGCTTCCAATTGTCCAGAACGGCTACTCAAACTCATTCAACAGGAAGAAAAGGAGGAAGAAGATGATACACAAGAGGCTGAGTCTCTTATGATGCATGAAGTGGTTTTCCTTAATGAAAAAAATGTGAGACCTAAAGAACTTGAAGTGTGCTCAAACAATGCTTGGTTTTTAGACAATGGCGCCAGTAATCATATGACAGGAAACAGAACATGGTTTTGCAAATTAAATGAGTCAGTCACAGGAAAAGTAAGGTTTGGTGATGACTCGAGGATTGACATTAAGGGGAAGGGCTCGATTTTGTTTGTTAGCAAAAAAGGAGAAAGACGGGTGCTAGCTGATGTCTATTACATACCGGAGCTTAGGAGCAACATCATTAGCTTAGGTCAAGCTACAGAAGCAGGGTGTGAAGTAAGAATGAAAGAAGATTTTTTGACGCTACATGATAGTGATGGAAATCTATTGGTGAAGGCAACAAGGTCAAGAAATCGACTATACAAAGTCGATTTAGAAGTTGATCACACAAAGTGTCTGCAGCTTGAAGTAACAAGCGATTCTGCAAAGTGGCATGCTCGCCTAGGACATGTTAATTTCGAAACCATAAAGACGATGGTAGCAAAGGAATTGGTTGTAGGGATAACTGGTGCTCCGAAAGAGAAAGAAACTTGTGCCTCTTGCTTATTTGGTAAACAAACAAGGCAAAGTTTTCCAAAAGCTACTGCGTATCGTGCGTCGCAGCCACTAGAACTGGTTCATGGGGATTTATGCGGTCCAATCTCTCCGGCTACAGCAGCAAAGAAGAGGTATGTCTTTGTACTAATCGATGACCACACTCGCTATATGTGGACTATCTTGTTGACAGAAAAAAGTGAGGCTTTCGAAAAATTCAAAGGATTTAAGGCAATGATAGAACAAGAAATCGGAAGAAAAATCAAGACATTCAGAACTGATAGAGGAGGCGAGTTCGTATCCCAAGAGTTTCAGAGTTTTTGTGAAAAAGAAGGAATTAACAGACACTTGACAGCGCCTTACACACCGCAACAGAACGGAGTGGTAGAACGACGAAACCGGACACTACTAGAGATGACTAGAAGCATATTAAAACACATGAGAATGCCGAATTATCTCTGGGGTGAGGCAGTAAGACACTCTACATATCTCATTAACAGAGTTGGTACAAGGACCTTAGCTGACAAAACTCCATATGAAGCGCTTAAGGGGAAAAAACCTAATGTTGAGCATTTGAGAATTTTCGGGTGTGTCTGCTATGCCAAGATTGAAGCTCCGCATCTCCGCAAGCTAGATGATAGGTCAAAGATGTTAGTTTATCTCGGGACAGAGCCTGGCTCAAAGGCATACAGACTTTTTGATCCAACAAGCCGCAGAGTTACAGTGAGTCGTGATGTAGTGTTTGATGAAAACAAACATTGGAAGTGGAACATGTTAAACTCAGAAAATCACGGTGACTCGTGGATGTTCACTCTCAGCCTAGGAGAATTCGGGAATCATGGAGTTAGAGACTTTGAGACTGCCGCAGGAACAGAGGAAAACAGAGAAGAAAGTGAGGATAACGGTGACAGTGAAGGAGATGATGCTGTGCTCGACGAAACGGAACAAGAAACAGAGCAAGAACTCACAAATCAACCAATGCCTTTGCTAAGACGATCCGGAAGACAAATCACAAAGCCAACTTACCTTAATGATTATGTGTTATTGGCAGAGATAGAAGGAGAGCAACTTTTGATGATGGTTAACGAGGAACCATGGGATTTTAACGAAGCTTCTAAGTCAAAGGAATGGAGAAACGCATGTGAAGAAGAGATTTTCTCTATAAACAAAAATAAGACTTGGAGTCTAGTTGATCTTCCCTTGAATGTTAAACCAATTGGATTAAAATGGGTCTTCAAGTTAAAGAGAAATTCCGATGGCACCATAAACAAGCATAAGGCGAGACTCGTAGCCAAGGGTTACGTACAGAAACATGGTATCGATTTTGATGAAGTGTTCGCTCCTGTAGCCCGCATTGAAACAGTCCGGCTTATCATTGCTCTAGCTGCTTCAAACTCTTGGGAAGTGCACCATCTAGATGTCAAGACTGCATTCCTACATGGAGACTTGAAAGAGGATGTGTATGTCACTCAGCCTGAAGGTTTTGTAACCAAAGAGAGTAAAGGGAAGGTCTACAAGCTACATAAGGCTCTCTATGGACTGCGACAAGCACCGAGGGCTTGGAACACTAAGTTAAATGAGATTCTTAAGGAATTAAAATTTCAAAAGTGCTCCAAGGAACCGTCCTTATACAGAAAACAAGAAGGTGAGAATATCTTGGTGGTGGCGGTATATGTTGACGATTTGCTTGTCACAGGATCTAACTTGGGGATGATCATTGAGTTTAAGAAAGGAATGGCGGGAAGGTTTGAAATGAGTGACTTAGGAAGACTCACTTATTATCTTGGGATTGAGGTATCTCAAGAAGAAGATGGATTTGTTTTGAAACAAGAGAGATATGCAAAGAAAATTTTAGAAGAAGCAGGAATGAGTGAGTGTAAAGCCGTTCACATACCCATAATTGCAGGTCTAGAATTGTCAAAGGCACACCATGAAAAACAAGTGAATGGACAGGATTATAGAAGGAACATCGGATGTCTTAGATACTTGCTACATACTCGACCGGATCTCTCTTATGTTGTTGGTATCTTGAGTCGTTATTTACAAGATCCAAAGGAGTCACATGGAGCCGTGCTGAAACAAGTGATAAGATACCTTCAAGGAACTCTCTCACATGGTCTATACTTTAAACATGGATCCAAGTCGGGGTTAGTGGGCTATAGCGATAGCAGTCATAGCGTGGATGTTGACAATGGTAGGAGTACCGCAGGTCATGTTTTTTATCTTGACGAGTGTCCAATTACTTGGTGTTCTCAAAAACAACAAGTAGTAGCACTCTCATCTTGTGAGGCTGAATTCATGGCTGCTACGGAAGCAGCTAAACAAGCCATTTGGCTCCAAGAGTTATTTGCTGAAGTTGTAGGGACAACATGCGAGAAGGTGACAATACGGGTTGATAACAAGTCGGCGATTGCACTCACCAAAAATCCAGTGTTTCACGGCAGAAGCAAACACATTCACCGGAAGTATCACTTTATACGGGAGTGTGTGGAGAATGGTCAAATTGTGGTTGAACATGTCTCAAGTGAAGAACAAAGAGCGGACATTTTAACCAAGGCACTTGGAAAGACTAAGTATAAGGAGATGCGAGATCTTATTGGAGTTCGAGATGTGCAAATGGAAGTTTCCAAGCTTAAAGGGGAGAATGTTGGGTTAAGCTTGGAAAAGAAGTAACTTGTGCGATAAGTTATTGGTTTAAAATAAGAGATATTATCAAATCTTTGGGAGTTATCCATTGATATATGTTTTAGGAGTTATCTAAAACAAGATATAGTTTGTTTGAGATTAGATCTTTTGTATCTCTATATAAGAGTTGCCAAAGCTTGTGGTAAACCTTAAGAGAATTGAGAGTTAGATTGAGAGAAGCTTTAGTTTGAGTTATTTCTAAAGTTAATAAAGAGTTATTTTCTTATCTTTTGATCTAAGTATTCGATTCTAGAGTTCCATACTTCGTCGTCCAGATTTCACCGAGCTATTCTTCAACATGTCTTTGGCTCGACCGCAACTATTCTTCGCCTGCTTAGAAGACAGTAAGTTAGTCTTCTACTCGTCACCTCAACCTCAAAATCCGAATGAGAACTCGTCTCCTCTAGTCGCCAGTTATCATATGAGTTTTCCTTAGGATATGTATTATAACTATGAAATTTGTAATCATGTCAATGGCTTGATCCTTCTAAAACTTTTGCGGAAGGAAAAGGGGGAAACTGTTCAGGTGATATGTATTATGTAACCCTAGCACGGGACAATGCTTAAGCTTACCAAAAGTGGAAACGAGTAGTGTGTGGGTGATGAGCTATTTTGGGTATGATCCGGTTGAGAAACAATACAAGGTATTGTCAGTAACACGGTCTGATGGTTTTGATGAGTATCAAGTTCTGACATTAGGAATTGGAGAACCTTCATGGAGAATGATCAAATCTTGCAGACCTCATATCCATTATTCTAAACATGTATGCATTAATGGTGTTTTGTATTACATAGCTTCAATCACTGGGTTTTTAGAGGATCTCATGGTCGTTTGCTTTGATGTTAAGTCTGAGAAGTTGAGATTTATTGAAGAAAGTATGGAACTTTCATTCGAAAGGGTTTTCAAAACCTGATAAACTACAATAGTAAATTAGCTTTAGTTAAGTCTAGCTTTATATATGGAACAAGTGATAGTATTGAATTGTGGGTTCAAGAAGATGTCGATAAGCAAGAATGGTCGAAGCATACATGTGTGTTCCCTGCTTTGGCGCAGAATTTGCGAAGGGGTGCTTACTTACGCTTTGTTGGAGTGACTCATACAAATGAAATTGTGTTGGCGTCGTCCTTTATTGTGCCTTTCGACCTCTTCTACTACAATATGGAGAAAAAGACAATCATAAGACTTCAAATCCAAGGAATGGAAGATTTTCCTCATAAACTAGTTGATATATCTTTCTAAACCATATAGAGGACGTGAAACTTTTGCAAGTGATTTAATTATGACTTGAGTTTTTTTTTGTAATAAAGCTAGTTTGGCTCTAGTTTGGATCTTATTACGTCATTATCTTCTTGGATAATTGTCTTCCCTTGTTTGCTCTTTTACGGTTGAGCAATGGTTCTTCTAAGTTTAGATTTGAGAGATCTCATATATAGAACCTCTTTAGTAGTACGAGAGGTGGATGTTGATGATTGGTCTTGTTAGATGATGAATCCGAAAAGTGTGGTAAATGATTGCAGTTTGTATGCGTTTGAAGCTAATTCTTAGATCCATTAAAAATTGAGATTTTTTATAACGTTACAAATCAAATGCTCCTTTTTCAAACATTTTGATGTTGGACGATTGAGGTAAGAAAAACTTCTTTTTTTCTTTAACAAATCTATAACTAGTTTTGGACATCAAACTTTATCGTAAATTTTGTAAATGGATTTAATCAAACACCATTCGGTGCAGGAATAAGTGCCAACCCATAAAAATTGCATATTGTACATTCCAATATCAATGAGAACAAAGTCACTAATTTGGATTTTGGTGTGCTCTTAATATTCTAAATTATATATTTTAAAATAAATAAATTAGTAGATTTTTAACGTACTCCTTTCTTATTATTGTTATTTTTAAACGCTTGAGACTTTTTCTTTAAATTATATAAGGGTGATACAAGAATTCAATAGAGGTGGAACAGAGTAGATTTGATACAATGATTGAGTAGAAGAAGCATGTTGAGAAAGCTTGTTCGCAGCGGCATTTCTCTCACGGTTGACGTGGGCTATAAGGACGATTCCGGAACTTTTGACATCCAATGGCAAAGATCATACAAAAAAGACTCAGAACAAGAACAATCAAATGACGAGTTATTTGGAGATGGACAAGTTATGAGTCTTGTTGACGTAGCAAGAACAATCAACACATGTGGTTTATCCGGTGTTCTTGCTACGGCAACAAGACTCAGTTAAAGAACAATCCATGATGATCCCATTTGTTAGAAATGCTGCCAAGACGAAGAAACAATAAATCATATACTCTTTACTTGTTCTTTCGCTCAAGTTATTTGGAGATGTGTAAATATCCACGTGGGTCAAAACGGATTTGCAGACGACTTGGAAGATAACATTGGCACATTGTTGCGGCTGAATAAAATCCTAGATCTACCTCTTCATCAACATTTATTTTCGTTCTGAATTGTGTGGCGTCTTTAGAAATCTAGAAACGAATTCCTCTTCCAAAACATTAAAAGGCTTCTAGAATTTGAAGCAAGTAAAGGACGACATGAGACCAATGAGTAACTTGTATTTTTTTTTTTATAACAGCTTTTGTTAATAGGCCAAAATTTTTTTTACTTTAGGCACTCAAATAGTTTGGGCCGGCCCTGGCATCCACCTCAAAAGGATGACTCAAATGTAATTTCGATTGTGTATTAATTCAGGGTCGACCTTATACAAACACATAATGGTCAATAAAGAGATAGTGATGGGCATGTCCTTTTGGCGGGATGTGCACAACCTCAACGTACTCCTTTCAGTTTCTAAGAGTTTTCCAAATTTTCAAACATGTTTCCATTTCATTAAAAAAAAAACAATGTATTTTGTATTATTATACAATACTCCTTTCAGTTTCTAAATGATTTAATGTTATGTAATATTTCTTCTATATTAATATTTTGATGTATTCATTTTAAGGTGTTTTGTTTCGAAACTAAATTTCTAATTATGAGATATAAAATTGTTGGGACTAATATAAATACAACATAATTAGTAAAATAATATATATATATATAATTGTACGGACTAAAATGAAAAGAAAAAAAACAAAAAGACATACCTCATCACGAAACGTGGTGTGCGAAAAGTTTCCATACATACTATATGGAGGGAGCGAAATCGAAGAAGACATGGGGATGTAAGTGTGGATGAGTTACGAGTTCCCTTGGATAATTGTTTCCCCTTTATTCTTTTACTGTGAACAATGGTTTTTCTAAGTAAAGATTTGAGACACCACACCCATAGAACTTCTATAGAACTAGCCCTTAATTAGTGGTATGAGAGGTGGATATGTTGTCATGTTGATGATGCCTGTTGTTAAATGCCGAATCCAAAAAACTATAGTAAATGATTACAGTTTGTAAATTATTAAATCCATCGAAAACAAAAATGACAAATTTTATAACGTTATAAATCAATTGCTTCTTTTTCAAACATTTCTTTTTTTGGTAGGGTTCTTTTTCAAATATTGATGTTGGACAATTGTGCTAAGAAAATACTTATCCTACTTACAAAATATATATAGCTAGTTTTGATATCCTTTATCGAATAAACTAATTAAACTTTGTAAAATAAATGGCTTACAGGCTCATGCCAACCTATAACAATTGCTTATTATAGATTCCATTTAAATGAGATCAAAGTCACTAATTTAGATTTTTATATGTACTCTTAATATTCTAAGTTAAATCTCTTAAAAATAAATAAATAGATCTTTAACGTACTCCTTTAAACTTCTAAAAGAATTTTCCAAAATTTCAAACATCTTTTCATTACTTCAAAAATATAAAGTAACAAAAAAGCTAAATTTCCTTTTATAATCAAATTTTAAACTCGGTTTTAACTTTAAAACTTTATAATAATTAATTTATATTTCTCTCTTTCCGTTTTCTCGACAATTACTCATCATTTAGCTCGTGTTTTTTAAAAACACACTCACAAAAAGTGATCTTTCACCTTCACTTTCTGCGATTCTTCTTCTTCACTCGCATGTATTTAAATTGCTTCGACCTTGTCACTCAGAAACTTCATCAATCTCTCTTCTAACAAAAACCCTAACCCTAATTCTCTCAAGACAACTCAAAGGTCTCTCATTTTTTGGGTTTTATCTCTTCCGTACAATCGCCATGTCTCTACCATGGAAAAAACCTAAATCAAGTCGAATCTTAAGATTCATGTCGGAGTTTCAACAATCGCCGTTCGTTGAAACTGGCTTCCCAACTTCTTTAATCGATCTCTTCTTCAAAAATCGCGATCGTCTCAAAAAATCTCCGTCTAAACGCTTCAAACGAATCGAACGCCAGATTCAAACCGCTCCAAACGCTTCTTCTTTGACTAATCAAGATGCGGTTTTGGAAAAGCCCACGGGGATTAAAACCGTTCGGAGTAAGATCGAGAAAGTTAATTGCGTTAAAGGTGAATCAGCGGCGGAGAAGAAGCACGCAATTAAAAATAGCGTTTGCGTTTGCGGCGGTGGCGGTGAGGTTGTTTTGATGGCGTTTAAGGTTTTAATAGTGGCGTTGCTCGCCTTGAGCACGAAAAAGAAGCTTACTATAGGAATCACTCTCTCCGCTTTCGCTCTTCTCTTAACAGAGCTCGTGGCGGCGCGTGTGTTCACGCGCTCCAAGCTCTGTAACACCGGCAAAGACAAAAACGCGATTGGCCGCGAAAAAATAATCGAAACTTTTGATGAAACTCGAGTTCCTGATGTGCAGGAAACAGAGCATGTAGTAGCTGAAACAGAGGTTTCGAAGTTGAAAGGTTTAACGATTCGTGATCTGTTGTTAAAGGACGAGAAATCGACAAGTAAAAGTTGGAGACTAAAATCGAAGATTGTGAAGAAGTTGAGGAGTTACAATAATAAGAAGACGAAGAAGACAATGATGATCAAAGAAGAGTCTTTGATTGAAGTCTCGAGTTTGGTTTTAGAAGATAAACCAAATAAAGTTGACTCCGAGAGAGACCAAGAAACGTTGAATCTTCCATTGATGAGATCAAATGGTGATAAAATGAATGTGATTGTTCTGATCGTGATAGTGCTTACTGGTTTGTTATGTGGAAAGATCTTAGCCATTGTTTTAACACTATCCTGTTTGGTTCTTAGATTTGGAGAAGTCCAAAAAATTTAATCTTTGCATATAAATTTTTTGTATATTTTTAATAAAATTATTGATATATATAGTAGTTTACATGTTTGCATATGAAACTGTAATTTTTTCTTATTTTATATGAAGGAGATTGGATAGACATCTAATTCATTCTTAATATCAAATGGGATATAAAAGTTGATACATAAGAGTATTATGGAGAATTAAAGATTGGATCGATTGTTTATTTGTGTTTAAGCTTAATATTGTTTCGAATGAATCACAATTTTAAGCGATAAACATAAAAAGTTATATTTTTCAATTTCTACAAATGATTTTTAGAGTTTTCACATATATTAAAATAAGAAATGTGTAATTTTATTAACATTAATTTTATACTATTAAAAATTTTCTAATAACTATGAACCAATAATAATCTAAATAAAACTAATTATTTTTAATCATTGCTTCTTGAAGTTTAGAATTTAATAATATCAATCAATTAAAAAAAATTAGTAATCAATATTTATGGAACAAAATAAAAAAGATAGAAAATCAATCTTTTAGAAAAAGAGGGAGTAATATTTGTAAACACAAATTTCGAAAACAACTGAAATATATTTTTGCGCGTTCTCGCTTGATACATTTTCATTATCTTTTGAAGAACTAAAACTATTTTATATTTATTAAATATGATCTACTTTTCTTTTAAATTTTTTTTTTATTCACATAAGCGCAGAAATTGCGATTGAAACAAATCAAAAGTTTATAATGATCAAAATTTGGTTAAAGTGTTGCTTTGGAATATATATTTAACACCAAAACGAATTGTTAGGTAACGTATTAGTAGTATTAATTTAGAAGTGCTTGTAGTAGGTAAGTGAAAGACAATTAGGTTTCACTCAGCTCTGGAATGTGAAAAAAGTGATGGTAGGTTTTGTGGCAATATTAATTAAATGGCATGGCACTGCCACTTATTAACGAAAAAGGGTAACCAATTAGGTTTATGTCAACCAATTAGCCAATAAAATGGTTAGGTTTAAACCTAGTTAAGCTTGTGCTAAAAAGTTTTGAGATCTCACTTTGATTGGAGATTAAGACCAAATTGTTAGTGTTGTGCTAAATGTAAAGTTTTAATGATTATATGTCAAATCTGATATGGTAAAAAATGGGTTTGTTTGTTGATATAATGATACTTAAGAGTTTGAGTTATTTGCCCAAAAAAAAAAAAAAGAGTTTGAGTTATAAATGTGATAAAATATATAATTTGGTAAATATTAATCTGAGCACTACACTTGGAATAGTTTTTTTTTTGTGTTAATAATTATACTAGGAATGATTAATTTTGTTAATTAATGTGGTGTATAATCGCGTGAAATTTCTACAAAATATAATAAATAAGAGAGTGTAGATTATTCAACATGTTTTCTTTTTTTCTTAACGCTTATAAATAAAATATAGTAGATTGTTGAATCATCTTTATAAGAACCATGAAAACACAAGATGATTGTTGTGAATAATAATAATAGACAAAAAAATCAAATCAAGCTTTTGGAAAAGGTGAATATGTGTTTACTGTAAAGCTTGATTATTAAAATGATGAAATATGACCAAAAAAAGTGTCGGATCGGATAAAGAGTGTGTCTTTGGTTTTTTATTCGATAGATCTTTTACCTAATTCAAAATTAACTTAGTGGCAAAGCCTCCATTGTTGGGTTTTCTTATTTTATTGTTACTTGTTTTTGTTTTTATTGACTAATGACTACCACTAAGTTTTCAGTCATGTCAATTTTTTTTTTGATCTTGTGTTTTTTGTTTTGCAGCAATCTTTGATCTTTGATCTTTTTATCAATTTTTTTTATAAATATCTTTTATAACTTAAAATATACAACACACTTGTTAACATATGTATTTAATTTCAATCAACAGTAAATAATATAATAAAAAAACTACTATTTTGTGCTTACAAGTGTACATGTAATATGTTGGTGAATGCATGATAATACTAAAATGCATGATAACCAATGGTTGACGATATAATTAAGATCTAAATATGTGTTCACCTACTTAATTAACTTTGTATATATACGCTTTGACGTCTCTTAGTTTTGAATTGCTAATATGCTTTCCATTGATCATATTTTTGAGTTAAATAATCGATTAACAATGTTCATGAGGTCGTTTATTGTTGTGCTTGTAAATTTCTTGTCAAGATTATTTGATGAAAATTGATTATGGACAATAAAATCACTTGCTCCAAAAAGTAAAACGTGAGAATCGAGTTATTCTAGTTAGCGTTAGGATTAATGAGAAGAATAAGTCAATTAATTTAACCTTTTACCAAAAAAAAGAATAAGTCAAAAGATAGATAAGTTAAACCAATAATAGCTCATGCGTGAATATGAAATTTGTCGGACGTGTTTATAAAAGATTATATATAATGATTAACGAATGTCTAATAAAGTTGCCACGCATAATTGGTTCTTTTACTATGTACATTTCTTCCAAATAAGCGACAACGATACATAATTGAGCATTTAACTTGTGGCAAGATTCGTATATACAAATCTAAACAAAATCATTTGTTATTCGATCAAAAGTATCAAAATTCGTGTAGTGATTTACCACTAGATTTAACTACGATTTCAGCTCAAAGTAGAAGAGTAAGCTTTGTAAATTTGAAACGATTTTTAAACACTAGTTAAAATCTTCATGTTAGATTTAGAAATCAGTGAGTTTTAGTTACGAGAATTTCTAAATACATAGTTTTACAAATGAATTAAGACTTCTATGAACCTTGTGTCTCTAGGATAGATCTTGGTCGGCTTGAAAACATTGGGTTCAGCAAAAATCCTTAGTGGTTTGAATTTTATTCTTAGAAATAAATTATAGTAAATTAATATTTAAATGTAACCTCCACCATGAGAAAATACATTCATTTTTAAAAAATTAAATTATGGAGTTAAAATAATGGGTAGTTAATAGTGTGTTTCAATGCCATTGAATAGAGAAAAAAGTTAATACACAATTTATATGATTTAGGTTACAATTTAGTATTAAAAGGTGGATTAATGTGTATGATTAAAGAATTAAATGTATTATGTTTGTGGTTTAATAAGATATAGATAAAGTCAATTTTATTAATATATTCCTTATCTTTTTATAAAAAAAATCAATTCTCATGAGATTAGTAAGAGATACAACATAAAATAACCATGGCAATATGCTATATGTAAGAAATAAAATAAAATTAAAAATATAACATATTATCGCACATACTTAAACTATTTTATCGCCTAATAATTTGATCTTTATTTTTCACTATAAATTATGTGAAAAAGATAAAATGTAGGAAAATATCTCTTTATTCAAAAATATCTTAAATTATTTTATCATCAAATATTTTTGATTTTATTTTATAATTTGATTTAAGGACTATCGTGGGTATTGTTCTCAAAAATCAAATAAACTGAAAATGACATGTGTCAAAAGAGTAGAACGCCAAATGTCACATTCTTAGAGCTTGTTTTGGAGAAACCTTGTCATATATATATATATATATATATATATATATAGTTAACAATGATGATAAAGATGGATTTAAAGGGGACACAGTAATAAACCAAATCGCATTAGTGCAATAAGAATCGAAGTAAAAAGGTCTAATTTTTTTTTTTACAGCAAATATAGTTCATCCACAAGCTAAAATCAAACCGTATTTTCTTCAAGAAAAAAACGGTCCAGAATTACACAGTTTACATGGGAAAAAATAACACCACGTGATCGTGCTTTTTTTGCAAAGCAGCGAGCACGAGTATTATTAGTACGTGAGACAAAAGCTAAATTAAAAGAGGAAAAAAATGACTTCAAAGAGCTAAAATCTTTTAACTCTGACGAAAAAGCAGGTCACTCACCGAAAGTGTCTAAAATCTGTATTAACTCCATGCAATCCGTCTCAAAAGCAACTTCAAAAAAAGAAAGTGGGATAAGGAACCTCATTGCCGAGAGGAGAGACTCAAACTCTAACTAAAATGTGGTTTGTTTTTTTTCACTCAAATGTTTTGCTAAGTTATATATGAAATAAAATGCGATCTCTATTTATTAGAGGTCCATTAGATATCACCACATGACACGATCACTTTCACATAACATTACATGAGGAACACACAATATTTATAGAGAACATATATGTCCAATAACAAGAAAACAAACAAACAAAACATTGTTTTTGTCTAAGAAATCAAATCTTTGTTTTTTCTTACACCATCAAAGGAGGAACACTCTGTTCATTCCTAAAGAAATTGGTTGGATCAATCTTCCCTTTAACCATAGCCAATCTCTTGAAATTACTTCCAAAATACCTAAACCCCCATAATCTCGCATCTTCGAAGCTCGTATTAATCCCTTTATTCATACCTAAATCAAGATCTCTATAATTCAAATAAGCTCCTCTTGGTGATCCAGAGACATAAACTCTCATATACCTATAAAGCAATCTCATCCATCTCACATGTTTCTCCATCTCTCCAATTTCCTTCACTCTCCATTTCACCATATACTGTATATTATATAGATTCCCTCTTCTATGAGGAAATGGAGTCTCCGATTCACCAATCTCATACATTTTACCACCTAATGGCTCCATTATCATTATCGGAGATTCGACCTCGTGAAACCTCTTCCATATACCTTCTAGGCCGATTTCAGGAATTGGGTTCTTGACAAAATCTGATTTTGCTTTGAAATACAGATCATTGTATCTTTGTTCTCGATCAAGAAGAGTCTCTAGTGGTTGTCCTTTCTTCCAGTTGAAGTACATTATCGAATCGATCCAGGTCATTTCAGTACAGTCTTGAAACCTTAACCCTAATTCCGGAAACTTCTGATTCATTAGAGGTATTAGTTTATCGATTCCTCCAAGATAATTTGCTTGGAAGGTAGCTTGAACAGATCCTCCAGAATTGGAAACAATGACTCGGATAAAGAGATTATCTTCAAGCTCTGCTGCAATTTGCTGCCATCTATGAACAATTTTCGTCATGTTCTGTGTCCACGGTAGGTTCCTTCTGAAGCACGTAACCTTCTCTGGAACCCTAACTAGCTTTACTTTCCATGATACTACAACCCCAAAACTAGCAGCTCCACCTCCTCTAATCGCCCAGAACAA